GACTTTAGTGAGCTGCATCATTCTGCTGCTCTCAGGTAGACTTGGCTACTGTGAGGTAAAAGCTGCAGAGCAATAAAAGCAGGCAGGCCTTAGCTTTTTTTTTAATGGTTTGCTCTTAATCTTTATGCATTGGAACAAGTGAAGAGTTCTTTGTTTTTTATTTCCTCAGTCATTGCAGAAGTAAATAATACTGCTGACCTCCCAAAAAGAGTTCATGGTAAAGATCCCAGTGAGATGACAGCAACGTCATGGCACAACCCAAATCAAGCATACAGTCTGTGGCCCTTCACAAATTACTTGGCTAAGCAGGAAAATCAGTAAGACAGGGTTGTCTGGTGCTGAACAGAAGGTTGGCCTTGATATCCATGTGGAGATACCTTTGGTTGCCCAATACCCTGAATTCTGTAGCAGTTTAGATTTTCAGGACTTAGATTTCACAAATTTTGTCTTACTCTTTAAGTTTTCAGTATCAGGCAGAAGTGAATAGTTCTGAGAATAATGAGAGTTTACCATTACTAAGCAGTATTTTATTAAGATAGAAAATATCTTTATTAAGACAGAAAATACTTTTCTTGTGACATCATGTGAGGATGGCATTTATCTTAGAGGCTGAGAACATTGATAATAAAACACAGCTGCAAGGTATGGAAATTTTCAAAATAAGATGAAGGCTTCTATAAGTTCCACAGAACACCACAGTAGTGGAGTGAGTAGCAGAGCTAGAGCTGCACTCTCAGGCTGTCCTATGAAAAGTCAGACTAGTCAAAGAGCTCCACTGTGGATGCTAAGGAAAAAGGTTAATAGAGAATAGAGTTTTTAGAACTGGAAGATGGAGGACAGAGGGTGAACTCACATTCTCTGGAGTCAGGGGGAAAGAGTTCAATGGATTTAGCGGACACTGAACCTCGTTTCTGGAGGGTCCAAACAGACAGACAGAATGACAGTCTTAGATCATTGGGACTCTTTTGGCTTGGCTTTGCAGTCAGAAAGAAGAATGTAATCAGTAATCATGTGTTGGGAGACACTCATTGTGACACATTAGGTTAACGATCCTCTTCTCTTAATTCTCTTAATCCTCATATTACTTGTGCCCTAGTTAAAAATTAAAGGCCTTAAACATAAATTCAGCACTTTGTCTGTATGCAGCAGTCCTGTGTCCAGGGATTTCATGACATTTCAAGCACCAACAAAATATGTAAATTTGAATGCAGCTACCTTCTGTATCCATCTGGTATTGGCATCAGCAGAGCTGCACATAAGGTGATTCTTACTCTGTATTATGAACCAATCGCTTAACTGCACACTTTTCCCTTCTTTGGTTATTTATTTCAGCCAGCAAGTATGCAAATATATACATAGATATTGTAGCACTGTAACTTTCATGCACAGAACATGTGCAGAATACCCACTAGTGGACTTGGAAGGTATGTCAGTGCTTATTATGCTCATGAATGAAAGGAAATGCCAGGACCTCTTAAAGTATAACATTCTGGGCCTGCTCATCAATACAAACCCACTAGGAAAATGTCTCATGACAATTTGACCTTTCCCTAACAATTATTCCGTATTCATGGTCAATTAGAAGGGTTTCCCTCATTTAAAAAAATATGAGGACCAACTAATCAGATAGCTAAAATAAAGTTGTTGAAATGGCAGTTGATTTTTTTCTGATAAGTCAAATCTATGTATTTCTTTCCCTCAGCAGGGGATAAATGCCTATATGGACAACTCCTTTTATAAAGATTTAATATAGCATGGGCACAGGAAATTGCCTCTTAATTTAGTGTTTTCACACCTTTGCCCACGGGTGTTTAATTTTTGTTATAACACTCTTGGTACAATACTGTCCTGCCTTGGCTATGCAATACAAAAAAATATCTGGGGAGTTCAGTGAACAACTTTGTGGGAGGATAAGAGGTGGCTGAAATTTGAGTTGCAGTTTTTATTGCAGACATCAGCTTTTAATTCCATTGTATTATTTAACCTTCATTGTGGTTTCTCTGGGAGTATATTTGATTTCATTGACTTATTTTGTGCCCTCTGTGGATTCCCTGCATCTGAATGATAGTTCTGTAAACTAAACTTTATGCTGAAATGAAATATGCTGAGATTGAGTGTCTAAATCTTCCAAGTTTGTACTTATAGAGATTTCATAACATAATTGTCTTCTGATGTGAAAATCTTATCTCCAAAGCAAATTGGTGACATTTTTACAAATAATTCCTTTGTGATGAACAATGTAAATGCATTTTGTGTTGTGTTGCAAAATTTTATGCATACTTTTATGTGCATATGGATTCACAGATTCATAGAATAAGTTTGATTGGGAGGGACCTTTAAAGACCATCCAGTTCAACGCCTTTACAATAAACAGGAACATCTTCAGCTAGATTAGGTTGCTCAGAGTCCCATTCAATCTGACCTTCAACATTTCCAGGGATGCAGTATCCACCCCCTCTCCATGTTCCAGTGTTTCACCAATCTCATAATAAAAAAAAGTGTCTTCTTTACATCTAGTCTGAAAATCAATATATATTGATGTTATATATAAAACCAACATTTTAAATGCAAAGGGTTGGGATTTTGTTTTTCATTTTACTGACTAGCAGGTCAAGGGAGGTTCTGAACTCCACTCTTGTCACAACGCACCTGGAGTACTCTGTTCAGCTCTGGCCCCCCTCCCCAACACAAAAAAGACCATGGAGTCCAGAGGAGGGCCATGAAGATGGTCAGAGGGCAGGAGCCCCTCTCCTATGGATACAGGCTGAGAGAGCTGGGCTTGTTGAGCCTAGAGAAGAGAAAGCTCTGGGGAGAGCCCTACTGTGCATTCCAGTACCTAAAGGAGGTGTACAGGGATCTTTTACAAAGTCACGTAGAGATAGGACAAGGGAGAATGGCTTTAAACAGAAAGAGAGTGTAGATTTAGGTTAGATATTAGGAAGAAATTCTTTACTGTGAGGGTGGTGAGGCACTGGAACAGGTTACCCAAGTTTGAATGCCCCATCCCCAGAAGTTCAAGACCAGGTCAGACGTAGCCTTGAGCAAGCTGGTGTAGTGGAAGGTGTCCCTCCCTATGACAGGAGGGTTGGATTAGATAATCCAATTAGATTATTAGATTTTCAACCCAGACCATTTTTTGATTCTATGAAATGTCTACGTCTTCTCTGTTTCATCCATAGTTCCTATCTTCTTAGGATTTAATTTTATTGAAGCCTTGTGTAGGCAGAGGAAAATCTTGGTAAAACCAGCTGCAAATTATTGTACTGCTGATTTCAACATGTCACTTGTGTAGGCAAGTCTTACAGCAGTAACACGACACCTGTTAGACAAAGAACATGTCCTGGGTTTGGGACTTCTGCTGTGCCACAGTAGGTGCCCAGCAGCCCTTAATGTGAGCCCATTTAGTAACACCACAAACTGTTGGGTCACTTGCTGTCTGTCTCTTTCAGCTGGAGACACAGTGATTGCTGAGAACTGGCAGCTTTTGAAAACAGGCGATACATGCTCAGAGATCATCTTGGTATGCCCTCAAGGCCTTTTAAGTTACTTTGCTTGTAATAAGAGGATGCCAGAAGACCATTATAATCTATGTATAGACCATATGTGTATATGTACATATATGTACACAGCTGTATGCCAGGCATGCAATATATAGATGGCTGTGTATTTCTGCTTCAAATTTGTTGCAATTTCAAAGCCAGTACATCTTTCTCCTGTAGTTATCTGTCTAAAATATAATCTGCCTAACAAATGCCATCACAATGGTGTGTGCTCCAGTGTGTGCTCTCGTGCTGAGAGAGATGTCTGTGGAGCTGCAGGCTCATCCCATCAGTAGATCATCCTGCATTAATGCCTCAGGCACTAATGCTAGCAAAGCTGTTCTGAGTTCTCTTAACTGACAAGTGACTCTCGCTCCTTATCAGCATAACAAGTAATAGCAAGAGCTTTGTAAACAGAGAACATCACTGGGCTTTGCTTTTCTAATCTGACCATATCCTTAATCATACAAGAAACATGAGGACATGGCAAGAAAAGAGCAACTGAAGCTTTTGTTGAAATGAGGTGGCAGGACAATTGCCACATCATTCAGTCAAGGATATTCCCACTGCAAAGCTTTGCTCTCCTCTCATATTTTCATTGGCCACTGGGAGGAAATTAGGATATAGGGAAAGGAAGAGAGAAAAATTTCTTTCCTTACTGATGATAAGTGATGTTGCCTGAAGGGGGCTGCTAAAAGTTCCACGTGAAGAATGGTGTATCACTGAAAAAGGACAAAGGCACCAGTTGGGGCAGGTAGCTTGGTGGAGGACATCATTTATTGGAAGTTATTGAGGCCAGGTAGCTGCAAGCCAAATTCAGAGAGTCCCAATCCTGACACCTTAGATTTGGATTTCACCTACAGTTATCACATATCCTAGATCCATGCCAAGCCCCAATGGGAATTTCGTAAAAATTCTGCTTCAGGTGCAATAGTTGGCTTCTTAAGGTTTGAATATTTTTTCATTGCTGCTGTTGTCTTTTGGGTAAATTGAGACAGTTTGCATCTAGAAGGGCTGTATTGTTTTTGTAATCGCATTTTATGATTACTGCCAAATAATAGCTTTAACTTTTCGCAGAGGGAAGCAGAATGACTCTGGCATACAAGTGTTCCAAGCAGAGAGCTCAAAGCTCCAATCTCCCCTTTCAGACAATATAAACTGACAGTGTGATTATGTACCTTCAGAACAAGAATGTGCTGTAGAGGTTCAGGAAATACTTGCCAAGCATAACTATTAAACACAGAACCTGCAGAAATCCCATCACTCAAACATGCATATGAGGTATTTTGTTCCAGTAGACCTTCTTGGTGGTGGCATTAACATTTTCATATTTAGATACTGTTAAACTTATTGTTAAAAATGTTGCAGTGGAAATGCCATATACATTTTTTTTTCCATGTTTGATGCTTTTTATGCTTGCTTTTCAGCATAGCTAATTTGGTTTTATCATGTTTTCTGCAGCAGTTAAGATCATGGAAGAACCAGAATCATCAGGTGATGACATTTTTGTTACATCCAGCACTTATGAAGGGTTGCCTTTCTTCACTGGTCCAAGTGATGTCTCTACCGTGCAGCCTGGAGCTGTCATTACAGATGTGCTGCCATCAGTAGCACCGCTGCCCGCAGCCACCAGCATGTCCTACAGCCCCTCTGAGATCATCGAGCAGTCCCTTGAGTTACCAGGCTCCTCAGCCCCAGCCCCTGAGGGCGTTCCTGCGGATGGCACCGGGATGGGCGTGCAGGACATCGCTGCCGAGCTGGATCAGATGGGCGCGGCGAGCACGGCCGCGCTGGACGAGGGCGAGCAGGGCAGCGGCTACATCCCCGTGCTGACCACGGAGCCTGCAGAAACCACCCCAGCACCGGTGCTCAAGTATGTGACTACCAGCTCCATGACCACTGCAGCCAAAGGCAAAGAGCTGGTGGTTTTCTTCAGCCTGAGGGTAACCAACATGCACTTCTCCGATGACCTCTTCAACAGGAGCTCGACAGAATACAAAGCGCTGGAACAACAGTTCATGCAATTGGTGGGTGGAAGTCAACTTGAACGGAATGTGTGGTAGCTGGGTGCAGTTTAAAGGAGTACACTGAAGTGCACAGAATTTTAACAATACTAAATCCTACTAGAGTTCGGTCTGATAATCTGTATTTTAAAGGATCCATAAGCCTGGGATGCTCTTAGAGTCTGAAGACAGAGTTTGTGAAGTCAGTGATGAAAGATTTTACTTGATCAAGAGAACCCAGATATATGCCTAGCATGCAATTTATTTGGCTTTTTCTTAGATCCACGTCAACAGTATAGTGGTGCTGATTATATCTGAGACTTGTGTCTGCTTGTTGCATTTAAAAATAGACTTTTAAAAATATATCATAGCATAGACTGTGATTAGATATGGATTTTCTCTGTTGGTACAATAGGGCACAGGTCAGCTCAGCTATAACATGTCTCTTATACTATGCCCTAACCTGCCTGGATTGAATGTTTGAAAATAATTAAAGTTGGCTTTTGAGTGAGGTAATTTTTTTCTCTTCCAAATGAATAAACTTCCCAGCTGCTATGCATTTCATTACAGGGGAAATTGCTGCCCATCCATCTCAATACATTTTTGAGAAAAAGCAGAAATCCAGAAGAAGATGCTGCTAAACAGAAAAGTTAATTTGTTCATGGAGCTTAACAATTGTATTAAACTCAGGGAAATAAATCTGTGATGTGTGTACTTGATAAGGAAAATTGACTATAAAAGAAATTAATAGCAGTAGATACTGACAGTAAGTTAAAATAAAGGCAAATTTCTGTTTTGCAGTTACTTCCATACCTTCAGTCCAACCTTACAGGTTTTAAGCACTTGGAAATTCTCAACTTCAGGAACGGAAGTGTGATTGTGAACAGCAAAATGAAATTTGCCAAGACAGTGCCATACAATATCACAGAAGCAGTACACTGTGTTTTGGAAGATTTCTGTGATGCTGCAGCCCAGCACCTCAATTTGGAGATTGACAGCTATTCTCTGGATATTGAGCCAGGTAAGATTGCATTACTAATGTATGTGCTAAAACAAAACTAAGCAGACTATCTTTTTTCAGACTGTTACAGCTTCAGAAATATGACTGTCTTGAAAATAACCACATTAACAATATCCTCCCAGTGATAGGGTGTAATAAGACAAAAAAAGATGTTGCACATTCTCTGCAGATGTATTTTCATACTGTAATGAAAAGCTGGGTGGAGCTGTTGGGCTGTGCATGTTCACCAGCTGCTTTTCAGAGACAGAGTCATCTCTAGAATAAGTACAGGGTGAAAACAGGTGTAAGAAATGTTCATGTGCAGTTTGCAGGTCTTGCACTGGAGTATGGAAACATAATTTCTGATGATTATTGCAATGTTGTAAGCATACCATGGTTTAGAGCATCGTTAGATTTTTTTAAAAAGGATACAGCATTCAAAACAAAAGGAGACAACGTGTAGGAATAATTGGATTCTACAGACACTCACTAATTGGGCATGACTTTAGTACTCCATAGATTTGTAATTCTAGAATCCCTCTGAATTTATATCTTTCAAATAAGTTTATAGTCTTTGCTAAACAGCAGAAAGTCAGTAACTACACATCTGGACACTATTCTTATGTCAAAAACTTAGTGTTTTCAAAAACTACATTGTTTTATAAAATTGAAGCCTGAATCTATTTTCAGGTCTGAAATTATTTCAGGGTAGAATTTAATTTCATTGTCGTGGAGAAGAACAACAGCAAAGGTATGCAGATGCCTCAAGGAGTTTTGGTTAAGCTGTCTTTTTATGTACAGATCTATGACAATTCTGGAACAAAAATCCATTTACAATTCAGTTTCTAACCAGTTTTCATTTTACATATGTCTTTGTGGCCACTAAAAGTATAGGTAGCTTGTGGTAAAGAAAGCCAACAAAATCACAGTATTCTACCCTTCAAATAAACCATGATAAATTGATGTTTGATGAGTAAAGTATCAAATTAGTTAATTATAAAGAGTGTACTTTCGGCTGCCATATGTTCCCTGCTTTAGTAATAAATTTCCATTAAATAAAAATTAAAATAAGAAAGATCCTAAAATGCAAATTCAGAAAAAAAATTTAAATCTTTCATCTTCATCTGATATGCTTTACTGATGTGGTATTTCAACATCAATTCAAGAAAACAGAGAGTTCATTACAGAGAGTTTGTGGAGAGAGCTGTTTTTCAAGGCTTATAAGCTTATAAAGTAGTATAGAGTCAAAATATAAGAAATTGTGTTCACAAAGTCAGTATATTCCAGTACAGCTGTGTCAAAGCCTGATGCATTTTAATTTCAGAAAACAAACAAAAAATATAAACCCCAACCTGTGTATCAAGTTAAGGCAATATAAGCAAATTCCTCTTTATTGTGAAACTGAGAGCCATCTAGTGGTAATGATGTTCTACCAAAGTGAAACATGGATGGGAACTGACAGTCCAAAATCTATATCAAGAGTCAGCAGCTGCAAAGGGCTGACTGCCCTGGTCATAAATAATACCATAAAGAAGAACTTTTCAAAATACCTGCACTAAATATTTAATTAGGACTTAATAATTAATAACTACTAATTATTTCTATAATTGTTTTTTTTAAATTTTCATTAATAATTGATTTCTGTGAAAACAGAAAATATAACAAAGTATGCACGTATGTGTTAAGGAAGATGAAATATTATCACAAGAACTCAGCCCAGCCAAATGCTTGAGCCAAGCTCTACTTGTTGGAGTTTCCTTGAGCTCACACTCCCCGTCCAGGAGCAAAGGACATATCAAGACAACATGCACATTGCATATAGCAAAGGGTGCACACTAAAACCCACTAGTCAAGAATTCAAAACAGGAAATAGATATAAAATTATCAAGGGATTATAAGTGAACAGCTCTGATGGATTCATTTCTACCACTGAAGCATATCCCAGTGTGTGTCTGAGATTTCCAGTACTCCTATAACAAATGCAATCCTCATTTTTCATTTAAATTAGTATTACTGAGCATCTGGTATGTAGAGCGTGAATGGCTGCAGGAGAAACCTCTCATCCCAGTTGCAAGCTGCAATATCCAGTACAAACCTTCTCTTTAAACTACATGAAGGGCCACACAGCCCAGCTCATACCTGTATATCTGCTCTCATTTCCTTCTCTGCTCTCTTTTTCTACTTTTGTCCACTTTTTTTTTTCTTTTCCTTTCTGGATTCATACATCTTACTGGGGCTGTTTGATGGCAAGAACAGGATTTGTGTACCCTGATGTACTCACTTTTTGCCTTCTAAGATTTTTGCCCCATAGTACACAGGAAACAGGGTACATCAGACAGGCCAGGTGGATGCAGCCCTCCTCCTCATCACCCCATCAGTACAGGTTGGGTTGGCAGAGAATGGGAAAGGAGAAGCAGACTTGTGTAACAGCTGTCTCTGATTTGGGCCTTCCCATGAACATCAGCAGGGTCCTTTTGCCTTAATCTCACAGAGGTATCCCTCACTAATATTTAAAAAACAAAACAAAAACTAAGCAGGCCTTTCCAATGTTAACATACCACAGCACAAAAATACCTTACCCAAAAAACTCCAACAAACAAACAAAGCCCAAGACAACAACAACAGCAGCAACAGCACAAACAAAAAAATCCCAAACAAACAAAAAAACCCCACCCATGCACAAAACCCAGCACTACAAAGCCTGTAAGCATATTCTGTGGAATATGACAGTATTTCTACATTGCAGGTCTTAGTATTGTGCAATAGTCAATAATCTAATTCCATTCCTCTGTCATGTCCTAAATTATGTGTTTAAGAACACATAATTAGAGTTGAAATTATTCCTCTCACATAAGGCTGTAGCACAGGATCCACGAGTATGATGACACCACTCACAGCAAAAACAGGGTAAAATCATCCAAATGTGAAAATCCTTGTCAGTGAGATGAAAATAAACTCACTGCTTAGCAGAGGTGGGGTAAATCAGGGCAGATGTCAACATGAAGTGGCTGTGTCCTGTACAGGAAGAGGCTGTGCGTCCTTCCATGCCGGACGACATCCTCCCATCAGCACTCCCAAGCGGCAGGCCAGTAAACACGAGCTGTTTTCTCTGGCTGCCACAAGCCCTGCCAAGACCTTAGGGCCAATGCTTCAGTTAATGATTTACCCATCCTTTACAGCTGACCAGGCAGACCCCTGCAAATTCATGGCTTGTGACAAGTTTTCCGAGTGCGTACTGAACGAGTGGACAAAAGAGGCCGACTGCCTTTGCAAGCCTGGCTACGCCAGCCAGGATGGGCTGCCCTGCCGGAGCCTGTGCGAGCTGCAGCCCCATCTCTGTGTCAACGGCGGCAAATGTGAGCTGGTGCCAGGAAGAGGAGCTGTCTGCAGGTAAACAGATTGATGAATTCTGTTAACAGCCCCATAAACCACGCTAATCAGCCAAAAGCTCGACGTTCAGATGCTGTAAGTCACACTGCAAATACCCTTCTGAAGTATAAATAGTCTCACCATGGATAAATCCATTTCTGCCTGTTTGTATACACAGAACATTATGATCTAGTTATTTTTAAAGATGCTTCAGAAATTTATTAGAAATTCAGCATCATTGGCAGTGAAGACACACACAAAAGCATGCATTCATTCAGATTTCCAAACACATTTTGGAAAAATGAAATAACACATTCACAGTTTTGCTACTGATTACATGGTAGTGTTTTAAGAAGCTACATTTTTGTAAGATATATTAAAAAGGAAATCTTTATTCATACAGACTGTGATTCCAGACTACCTGATAAAGCACATGAAGGCTGAAGCTGCTTTCAGGGATTTCTGGGAAAGACTTGAAGATTAGCAGCTCTTCCTTACTGCAAATATATTTCATAAGGATTTTTAAATGGAATTATCTTAAGTAAATACTGAGAACTACACAGTACTTGAACATATTCAGTCTCTTTTCCAAAGTATCAAGTTCCTTCTCGTTGTAAGACTAGACAATTCAGAGCATTATGTGAAACTGTATACTAGACTTGCACACAGTACCTGACCAGCCATGTACATAAGCGAGAATCAAGTTACAATTCTTGCATTTGCTTATTTTCTATCAATACTTTGACTAGAATAACAATACATCTTTTACCTTACTTAGGATTAACATCAAAAATTAAGACCACTGGATAAATTATTCAAATTATTCACTGTAACAACCCAACAACCAAAATTAATTTTCTTCAATGGGCACCACAGGAATTATATTGAATTCACCACAGTTACTGCCAAATTCCTGACTTTCAGAGTCACAATAGAGCAACTGTAGCATTTAGTACTGGAAATCAGCCTTTGACCTAGAAAGGTCCTCTTCAAAACTTTGCTGAGGTAGCAAGGGGTCTGACCTACTCCTCCAAGACTGATGCACTAAGGAAAAAAACCCCTTTCCCCACCCAGAAAAACCCTGAATGTACAGGTTTAACCAAACCATCATGAGGAATTATAAAAGGACTAAAAACAATAAATGAAATTTTTTGTGAAGTATAGCAAGACACAAATTCCCATCAGTGTCAGACTGACAGCTTGTGCAAATTTGTACTGTCAGAGAGAAAATTATGGCTACTATTTGCCCTTGTTCTCCACATAAATTCACTTCCCCCTTGTCTAAAAAGAGGAGTAGAGTTCTGCTATTTGCAGTAGAACGCTCATTTCAGACCTTACTCCCCAGAGTGAAATCACCAGTAAACAGAATATAAGCTTCAAAGTTGTGTTCAGACATTATCTTAAAACATACCTGAATTTCTAAAATTCTAAACCACAAATGTTACCTGTGGGATTAGAAATTTGTCAGAGATATTTAAAATGCATTATTTCCTTAAAATTTGTAGGTCATGAAGGAATATGTCACTGTCTTTTTATTTAAAAATCACTCTTGAATGTAAAAGTATTTTCTTTGCGTATGATCAATCACATTATTTTCATGGAGACACATAATTATTTGTAGTGGAAATAATGAGTTGATATTACATTGCAGATTTTCCTTTCTTTTTGTTTAAGATACTCAGTATTTTTTGCCTTGAAGTTCTGTACATTTTTTCTCTTCCTTTCCTTGTTTTAGATGCCCTGTACGTAGACACCAGCTTTACCAAGGACAGCGCTGTGCAAAATTTGGTCCAGAACCCACACAACCCTTCACTTTTAAACTTCTCATTCTTGGCTTAGGAAGCCTTGGTTTTCTTTTCATCATTTTAATTATTAAGATAAGAAGAAAATGCAAAAGAAACTCTAATTTGCAGTAAGCTGCTCACAATCTTTTCCTTCACATTTCAAAATATTCCTTTTGTTTCTTTTGCAATTTAAAATCTTACCTAAACATAAATATTCTGCGTTGTAGAAGTCCTACTCTCAGCAGCTGCAATTCAGAAAATGCTGTAAGGATTAATCCTGCTTTCGAACACGATGAATCCCTATCTAGCTTTTGTCACACGGCTTGCAGTGTAAGTGCTTGTCTCAGTTCCTCAGAGATCCTTGATCACCAAGCATTACATGAACTTGAAAACACAATTCAACCTGGAGGTAAACTGCATGGAAATCCCTTTCTCATCCCTCAACAAACAGCCCCACTTGAAATAACAGGTCCACCTTCATCTATTAACTCCACAACTAAATCAAACTTGAAGCTACTCTCTTGCTTGGCAGTTTCAGAACTGAAAATACTAATGCATTCATTGCAGTGTAGGTTTCATAACAGCACTGTAGAACTGCTTTTCTTACAGCTCTCTTGCATGGCTCTGGCAGTCTATCCTAGCTGAGTGGTTTTAGTCATTTAGAGAAATAATTAGTGGTTTGGTATTTTTACTCTTGTAGGTCACCAGATGAGTTTACAAAACCAAGACTGACAAGTTAGTCTCTGGAATTCTTCGTTTCCAGCATCAGCCGGACAAAACCAAGGTTTGTCACTATTTTCAAGAACCTTAAAAATCTGTTGTGTCCCATTGTTGATGCCACCAGGGAGCCTCTTTGTAGTAATTCCATACAAAGAAAAACTCAGATTTTTTTTGACGCTTGATATGACAACTACATTTTCTTCTTAAATGTTTTTACGCAACAAAGTTCTATTTTGTATAACCATGTGCTAATGTGGCGGTCACTGGAACATGTGAAGGAAGAAGAAATACCTGAAATGACAAATTAACACAAAATGCAATCCAAAGGAGAGGTTTAAATAGCAGCACAGCTCACTTAAAATCTCAGATCACTCCGTCTGGTTAAGCTACATAGAGTTTGACAAGTAGGAATTCTAATTTGAGCAGAATACTGCTCATATCTCAAGTATTATTTCAAGTTTTGCTACTTGAAACCCCTTGTATCTTTGTGGGGGAAATAAAGACAGAAAGCAGAAAAGCTCAGTAAAACTTCCTCTAAAACTGGCAGACTGTTTCTGATGTATCTGAGTATGTCCTCTTGATAGGTACAAAAAAAGCTTTTATTTTGCCATTTTTCATTTTTCTGAATTACAGCCCAATTAGGAATAAAAAGGTTTTGTTATAGCTGTTAGCATCCATTGTTATTGTAGGGAATATCTGTACAGGACTGCTCTTGGCACTAGCTGGACATTTTGGAAGACAGGACACCAACTACGTGAATCTTGGGCTCCTAACATGTTTGTTGTTATGTAAATAAAGGAACAAGCAGAGATACCATATAGAAAGATTTATTACCACTGATCTTCATCATACCCAGGTCTGGTCTCTTCAAGTACAGTTACAGACTGAGCTGAAAATGGGGGGACTGGAACACAAAGGCAGAGATGGACAAACAGCAGGGAGTAGCAGTTTGGAAAAGCTCAAGAATGAACTCGCTTCACTGGTCATAAAAGCATGAGCACAGATGTTTGCAATTAGTATTTTACACCCACCTTAAAAGAAATGTGCCTGTGGGCAATTGTAGACCAATAAATTTTCATAATAGCTAAACTACTTGAAATTTCTACATAGAAGAGAATTAATATTTTATTAAAGTAATAAAACGGCACATCTGTGAAAGAAAACACAGTATATGTCATCTAGACCACATTTGAATTGCCAAAAGTACATTGACAAAACTCTTCTCAAGATCTAGTTAAGTAAATTAATTTAGTGAGAAATCCAGCAACCACAAAATTGAAATGGGTTTAAAAAAACTAGGTGGCTATTTTTCACTGTTAAGTTCACAGTGAATGTTTACATCACCCTTAGATTCAACATGTTTTTAAAAAAAGTTAACGGCAGAAGAAAATTTAAAGGTAGAACACCTTTCATTAGTTGAAAGTAAGAGGAGCACTTGGATTTCTCAGTCTAGAAAACTCCTTCAGGGCCAAATTTTTTTAAATAGAATATGGCACTTGAACTGAATTTTCAGGATGCAGCTATCTGGATCTTGTAGGCCAAATTGAGAATTCAGTATTTAAATTCTGGTTTGCAATATGTAATGACAGCAGTGACAGCTTTTTAGGACATATTATCTAGAGTAAGTACAGCTCTGTATTTATAAAGGCATATATGAAAATAGGCGCAAAGTTCCAGTAGAAGTTAAATACCCTTCAAATCCTCCCCAAATCTGAAAAATGTCTCCAGTTTAGTTACAGAATCACTGCATGGAAAATTACTGCAAAACTTATTTACCAGAGGGGATTTTGATTGAGTGGAGTTTTATCCAATTAGTCATTCGTGAGCTAACAACCTTTAACATCTCCAGGGATGGTGCATCCACAACTTCTTTGGGCAATCTCTTCCAGTGCCTCACCACCTTCTTAACCACCAGTTAAGAATTCCCTCCTTACATCTAATCTAAATCTCTTTGACTTTAAAGCCATTCCCTCTAGTCCTATCACTCCCTGCCCTTGCAAAAAGTCTCTCTCCCTCCTTCTTGGGCCCCCTTTAGGCACTGGAAGGCCACTAGCAGGTCTCCCTGGAGTCTTCTATTCTCGAAGCTCGATACTTACGATGAACTACAATTATCAGATTTTAGTGTGACCTTGCCTATTAGCTCTTAGATAAATAGTGCACTTTCAAATTCAACAATACTTTTCAAATGTCATATGGGACTTTCTCTTATAGGTATTCAAGAAAGAAGGTCTGCATTATTCAAGACTGGACTTCAGGATGAGTATGAAAAAAAAAATAAAGGATTCCTAAAGATACAGTATTTTGGCTCTAAAATCAATACACATTTAAAAAATAGTTTTACTGAAGGAAAACAAATTACCAAGTTGAGCAGCTTTTGAGCATGTCTAAAATGCCTGGTAGGAAGTTCCCACTATTAAGATGCATGCATTAAGCTTCTGGTGCTTACACATCTTAACTGTTTTATTTAAGAACTGAGTGCTAGAAACAGATTTTGCTGAGATGTGACATTTTTCAATATTGTATGTTACAACCATTCTGGTAAAAGTGTCAGTGGAGCTTCAGTGCATTTCTATACCCCTTTATTAACCTTCCTTACACACACTGATGCAAATAGTGAATGGAAATTACAGCTGTCATTGACCAAAGGCCACATTAAAAAGCATTTGGGAATTTCTTCATTCCCTCCCTGAATGCTCACATAGCAAATCACACAGAAGTTGGATTTAATTTTTCAAGGGTTTCTATGAACATCAGATTCCTATTTTCCTGTTAATAAAGACATCATTTTTACATATGTACATATTCACTTAACTGTTTAATTCTGATGACAGTGAAACTATCAGGTTATCCTAAGACTTCAAACTTTTTGTTGAGGTACAATATATGTAGTTTCATCTTTCCAGAACATGAGATTTGTATTCACAAGCACCCTCCTGGTGTTGAGTAGATTAGAATTGCACATGAGAACCTACACTTTAGAGTCAGTATCCACACAAATAATTTTGAGACGTTACTGCTAGTTTTTGTAGGAGAAATCTAAACAGACAACAGGTGGCCATTAAATATTTTGTAGGCTTATTAACTTATGCACTATGAATCCACAATCCTGATTCAAGTAGGAGCATTATTTTACCTTGAGTATCTTATTCTTGAGTATGTATCTCTATTTATATTCTGTACCAGTGCTGTATTCAGGCACTGGTTTGCTGCTTGGTGCACACCACAAGTCGTACTTACAGCTCAAACTGAGCCTCTACACAGTTCATGACTATCCTGGATGACAACTCCTCATCCAGATGTGAAACTTCCGTGTATCCAGGACAGCAGCTGACACTGGTGACAATTCTTACTTCGTGCCGTGCAGTTACCACAGCAAAGACTGAACTTTGGTTCCCCTTCTCAAGTCCACTCAAACGAACTGTTTACGAATTCCCAACAACTGCACGGGTTTGCCTGCAAAACCACCGGAACTGGTGACTGCGTACGGATGAAGGCAGTGCACCAAGGAGTTTCTACAGCTGAAATAGTGGTTTTACTTTATTTAAGTAGGAAAGAAAAACAAAGAAGAAACCTAAGATGTGTTTTTACACAGTAACACTTCAGAATAAAATTACTTTAAAAGTACTTTTGCAAGGCACTGGAAGTCATCCTTGCCTACAAATGCTAGCTTTTCACTATTGCTCATGTAAGCTAAGAATGCATTAAGAATGCTGATAGCATTCAATTTTTTTCCATTACAAATGTATTTTTGTATGTGTTTAGCGTATTTCAACTTCTGGTAGTTATCATTAGCCAGATTAAAAAAATAAGTAATTTTAAAATGTGTATTTTAATAATGATTATTCATTATTGTATTTATCACTCTCGACTATTAATTACCAAATATATTTGCTGGATGTAAACCTTTTGTATTTCAATAAAACAAAATAAAATAATTTACTTGAAAATTTCACAGGGAATTGAAGTGGTGCCTAATGTTGCACTGAAGCTTATCATGTAACTTTAAAACTGATGTAGAGTTACAGTTGGTAACAGTTTTATACAAGTGGTATAAAAGCCATAAGGAAACTGAAACAAAATTACATTTCCTAGATAAAGTCTGAATTGCTTGGATCTATTTAAATTAAAAAACTATCACTGTGATTTGGCCCTTAAGATGAGAAAGTTCCCCAAGACTCTTAAGAGGAACACAAACAAAACCCCCACAAAAGCAATACCACATCTCCATCCCAAACATAAAGCTTCCCCCACAGCATACACATTCCAAGCAGCAGAGTTGGTGTCACCAGTCACTGACTGACACAATCTAAAATTAAAAGGATGCAGAGTACATAGCATAGCAAATGATAGACATAAATGTTAAGTGATAGCAATAAATGTTAAAAAAATATTGAAAGCAAAAAAATACTTATTTCAACAAATACTGAGAAATGAAGTATAAGACTTAAGATAACAAAATCAGAACTTTCTAATATCTGAATATTATTTTGGAGGAACACATACCTTAGAAAGTAAAATCTTTACTAGAATAAAGCTTTAAAAAGTAGGTTTAAGCACCAAAAATATTTCATGGAAAAGCAGCAGACAGAACAAGCAAAGGAATATTTTTATGTTTCTCATAACTTAATTAACCTTTATGCTTAAACTCTTCAAAGACAAAACAGTAAGAAGATACAAGTAAGATTTCAACATGGAATGTGTTTATTTTTATTTTTAATTTTCAGTACAGTATTAAGAGGTCATTTAAATACTTAAAATAAAGATATTTGAAGAAAAACCCAGAGGATTCAACTAGGTAAAGAAAAACACAATCTTATCAGTGGATAAAAGACAAGTATGAATGACCTTCAGAGTCAGTACTGAAGGATCTTTAGAGTAGCATTCTCAAGAAAATGAATATTCCTGGGTCACCTAGTCAGGAATGTAGCTTATTGTGGTGATTCTCTTCCTATCCTTTGTTTTGTGGAGCATTTTAGTCAATCTCAACTATAATGGACAGTTTCACTGACAGG